ATCATTGAATTTAATGTTGCTATCATGTATTTATTTATTTTCACTTTGTACAGGAACAATTCTTTTTTAAAAAAATATATTTTATTGATTTTTTTACGGATAGGAAGGGAGAGAGACAGAGAGTTAGAAATATCGATGAGAGAGATATGTCGATCAGCTGCCTCCTACACACCCCCCACCGGGGATGTGCCTGCAACCAAGGTACATGCCCTTGATGGGAATCGAACCCGGGACCTTTCAGTCTGCAGGCCAATGCTCCATCCACTGAGCCAAACTGGTTCTGGCAGAAACAATTCTTGACTTAACTGTAAGTCTTGTTGGTTTATTTTCTCATCACTGATTCCAGTATCACTTGCTTTCTTTCTTTCTTGGACTTTTTCTTTTTTCTGAAATACATCCTAGAGTAATTCTCCTCCTCCTCCCCCTCCCCTCCCCAGGAAATATCTGAAAAGCTTTTTCTGTCCTCACATTTCCAAAATGTTGTGTGTTTGCCCTTGAACTTCAAAGTAAACTTGATTGTTTATGATTCTAGGTTTAAACTATTTTCTCTCCATATTTTCAAGACATCACTGTGTATTTGGAGTTTGGAGTCACTAACTTCTTGAGAAAATTTTGCCAACCTGGCCCTTGCTGCATTGAAAATAACCTGTTTGTTTCTTTCCTTTGGGAAGCTGCTAGGATTACCCTTTTATTTTTGGATGACTGAAAGTTCACCAGTTTGTGACTGAGTAGGCACTATGAAAAATGAATCTCGCTCTTCACTTCATGACCTATAGTCTCCTTCAAAGCCCTGTGAGGTTTTCTTCTATTTCTTTTTTTTTTTTTTTTTTTTACACATATTTTTATTGATTTCAGAGAGGAAGGAGAGGAAGGGAGAGAAACATCAGTGATGAGAGAGGATCATTGATCAGCTGCCTCCTGCACAGCCCCTACTGGGTATTGAGCCTACAACCTGGGCATGTGCCCTTGACAGGAATCAAACCCAGGACCTTTCAGTCCACTGAGCCACACTGGCTAGGGCAAGTCTTTTTTTTTTTTTTTTAATATATTATATTGATTTTGTACAGAGAGGAAGGGAGAGAGATAGAGAGTTAGAAACATCGATGAGAGAGAGTCATCGATCAGCTGCCTCTTGCACACCTCCTACTGGGGATATGCCCACAACTAAGGTACATGCCCTTGACCGGAATCGAACCCGGGTCCCTTCAGTCCCCAAGCTGATGCTCTATCCATTGAGCCAAACCGGTTTCGTCGCAAGTCTTCTTCTATTTCTAACTGTACCTGTGTGGGTGCACATGGAAAATCCCCAAACAACAGTGGTTTGACAATACAGACATTCCCCCCCGCCCCTCACACAAATAATGTCTAGAAGCAACCAATCTCCAGCTGGAATGGTCGCTCCACAGTGGAAAGAGGAACCCTGGTTTCTCTCTTGCTGTGTGGCATGTGGCTTTCATACTCAGGGTAACCTCATGGTCCAAAATAGCTGTTGAGCCAACTCCCTTTAAATAGACTTTAAATATATATATTTAGGTGCTCTTATATTGCAAATACGTTTACCAGGGTTATGTCCTCTTGTTGGATTGATCCCTTTAGTACTATGTGACCTTAGTTGTTTCTTGTGATAGACTTCATTTTGAAGTCTATTTTGTCAGATATGAGTATTGCTACTCCAGCTTTTTTTTTTTTTTTTTTGCATTTGCATTTGCATTTGCATGGAGAAACATTTTCCATCCCTTCACTCTCATCCTGTATGTGTCTTTTATTCTGAGGTGGTTCTCTTGTAGACAGCATATAGTTGGGTCATATTTTTGTATCCATTCATCTATCCTATGCCTTTTGATTGGAACATTTAATCCATTTACGTTTAGGGTTATTATTGAGAGGTACTTATTTATAGCCATCTTAATTCTGTATGGCCAGGTTTCTCTCTGTGTGTCTTCTCAGCAATCCCTTACAGCGATCTCTTTAGTGTTTCTTGTAATGCTGGCTTGGTGGTAATGAACTCCTTTAGCCTTTTTTTTTGTCTGGGAAGCTCTTTATTTCACTGTCTATTTTGAATGATAGCCTTGCTAGACATAGTAATCTTGGTCTCAGATCCTTGCTTTCCATTACCTTGAATATTTCATGCCATTCCTTTCTGGCCTGTAGAGTTTCTGATGAGAAATCAGGTATCAGCCTTATGGGAGCTCCTTTGAAGATAATAGTTTTCTTTCCTCTTGATGTCTTTAAGATTCTCTCTTTGTCTTTACCAGTAATTTTTAGCATTTTAAGTATTATGTATCTTGGCATGGGCCTGTTTGGGTTCTTCTTGCTTGGGATTCTCTGTGCCTCCTGAACTTGTGTGACTTTTTCCTTCACTAGGTTAGAGAAGTTTTCTGCCATTATTTCTTCAAACTCATTCTCTATCTCTTTCTCCCTTTCTGCCTCTTCTGTCACATCTGCTATTCTAATATTGTTATATTTCACATTTTCCCACAGCTCCCTTAAGCTGTCTTCCTGTTTTTTAATTTTTTTTTTCCTTTTTGGTTCTCTGATTTAGTGATTTTTTTTTCAACCCTGTCTTCTAATCCACTGATTTGATCCTCAGCTTCCCCTAATCTGCTGTGTATTCCTTTCAAAGTGTTCTTTATTTGTGATATGAATTCTTTATTTCTGTTTTTAATTACTATATCTTTTCTCATGTTGTTGTTTTTTAAAAATATATATTTTATTGATTTTAGAGAGGAAGGGAGAGAGATAGAGAGCTAGAAAAATCTATGAGAGAGAAACATTGATCAGCTGGGGGTGTGCCTGCAGCCAAGGTACATGCCCTTGACTGGAATCAAACCTGGGATCTTTAGTCCACAGGCCAATGCTCTATCCAAACCAGTTAGGGCTTCTCCTGCTGTTCTTATCTCCATTTCATTTATCTCTTCTTCTGGAGAATTCTCTTGTTCTTTCTTTTGGGGGTTGTTTTGTCTCCTCATTTTGGCTGCCAGTTTGGGTTTGTGGCTATGTATTAGGTAGATCTGATACACCCCTCTATCTCTAGTGCAGGACAGTGTCAAATGCTGTTTCTGACTGATTAGATCAGGTAAAGACTTAAAGCCTCCAGAGACTGCTTCTGTCTAAAGACTGATAAGATTCTGGCTTAAATTGTCCTCAGACTAGGGACCTCAGGTGTTGCAAGAGTTGTTTTCAAAAGGGTGGGGCGGTTGTTTCTTCCTGGAGGCTAATTGTTATTCTCAGTCTCTTATTGGGCTTCAGCAACTCTGCATCGTGGGGTAAGGAGGTTTCCAATAGGGTGGACCAGCTGTCTTTCCCCCAGGCAAGGTCACCTGTATAGGTAATACCTACATAAGAAAGATGTCCTCCCACAGCAAGAGGGAATGACTCAGCACAGGAAACCAGGATGTCTGCCTTCTGAGCTCTAATTCCTGAGCCCCCGATCCTGGCTTCTGTTCACACAGCTCCAGTTCACTCTGCCCTGCCTTTGTCAGAGCACAAGGTGAGTGGCTACACAGGGAATTTTGTGTGTTGACTCTTTTAAGAGGGGGCCTGAATTTTCAGCTGTCTCTCTCTGGCAGACAGCAACTCTGCTGCTTTTCACAGCCAGATGTTAAGTGGGTACCCTCAGTTCTGGTGCTCTCTACTGGGGGTGAGGGTGGGGGATACTTGGGGATTAGACCCCAGCATTCTCAGTGGCAACCCCCTGCAACTGAGATATCTTCCCAGAACTTCAGCTGCTGTCTGTGGGGGCCCCGGCCAGCCCTTCCATGCCTCCACCCCTCCTACCAGTCTCTATGCCATCTCCACTTTCTGTCTTCGGTTATCAGAGTTCTCACTGGAGAGAACCCTGATAACCGAGGACAGAAAGTGGAGATGTCTCTTTTGCATTTTGTCCTTTGCTTCATGGTCTGGTTACTTTTATAAAACATAGAAAATTTTGCTTTTATGTATTCCTATCTGCCAGCCTTCATCTCTCTGACTTCTTCCACTGGTTTTAAGCTGGAATAGTGTAAAGATAGTCACTTCTACGGTCTGCAAGTTTAATATGCTTTGACTTCTTCCATTTAAATTGTAAAGTAGCCTGATATTCGGGGAATGGTGTGAGAGAGGGATTCATCTGATACGTTTTATGTTGTTATTCAATTATCTTAGCACTTTTTCCTATTCCTGTTCTTTTTCTCATTTCTTATCACTGCATGTTGACTCATGACTTCTCTCGTCATATAACACATCCTTGCATAAAACAGTTTGTCTGGTCTGTGTCCACTGATATATTGCACGCACGTGTGTTGTGTGTGTGTGTCTGTGCTCCTGCAAATTGAGTAAAGTTTCAGACTCTCTTCCTAGGGATGGAAAGAGGAAATCCCCAGCCTCCTGCTGAGAAAGCAGAACTGGTGTCTGGTGTCCGGTGTTGGGAGGGTGGTGTGGGAGGAATGCCAGGAACTGGGGCTGAGGTGGGGAGAGCACCAGGTCCCGAGTGTGTGAGTGAGTGTGCATGTGGTCACACCCAGGGAGGACACTGTGTCCCCCACACCCAGCGACTCCCCCAAGCAGATGTGGGTCAGAGGCCCACGGGGATCTCTGTGCAAATCCAACACCAGGCCTCCGTCTCCTGTCTTCCCATCACCAGGGTCCTGCCTGGTGCCCGACCCAGTCTTCAGAGACTTTTAGAGCATCTCCCTCGAGGTCACACCGGGGACGCTTGGGGAAAGGGAAGGGACTGTCCAAGGTGCCAGGCCGAGGCCCATGCATCAGGGCCACTCGCGGGTTCACCCCAAAAGTAGGACGAGTGCCTGGGGCACAGGCTGGGAGGGCAGCTCCCCGTGACATTTCCCCCACAGGCCAGAGAAGCCAGAGCTGCAGGAAGATTCACAAGAGCAAGCAGATGACATGGGTCTGGCCTGGCCCCCCACTGGGGAGCGACACAGGATTCCAGGCCAGTGAGGACCAGCCCTGGCCCACACCTGCACCCGTCCTGCCGGCCCTGCTCGCCCAGAGCTCACCGGGAGATGGCGCTGGCCCGGTGGCTGCTCCCCGTGGCCATGCTGGCTCTGAGCCACGAGCCCAGCGTGGCAGGGGACCTAGGTGAGCTGACAGCTCCCTCCCTTTTCTCTCCTCTCCCCAGACTCCTCCCATTGCTGGAACCCTTGTCTGAAGCTGTCCCCCACCTGTTCCCCAGGAAGCTCCAGACCCCGGGGGCTTTGGCCTCCCTCCCTCCCTCCCCTCATGCCCTCTCTCTCCCTGATGTTCCCAGTGCCTCTTGGCCTCGCCCACACTCCCACCCAGTGTCCTCAGGCCCCCTGCAAAAGCCACCTCTGCTATGTCCTTTCTCTGCCCACATTCCTCAGCGTGGCGTTCAAGGCCTCTGACCTCCAGGCCAGCCCTTCCAGTCTTTCTCTGCCCCTTCTCTCCCTACCCCCATCCCACCCCCACTCCGCCCCTCTGATAGTGGCCTTGATGGATCCCCACTTCCAGGGGACTCTCAGCCTGGGGGTCTCTTCCTGCCCTGGCTCCAGCAGCTGGGATGCTCTTAAGGCACATGAAACCCGCTCCCCAAGGGCTCCCAGAGAACGTGGCGTCTCTGGTCACCATGGCAACCACATCCCCCTTTCCATCCATCAGGCCTGGCCGCTGAGCAAGGACATGGGCAGGAGGTTTCAGAGCAGGGCCCTGCCCCGCTGCCTCTTAGCAGCGGTTTGTGCCTCTCCTCCCAGGATGCACCGAGGGCTCCAGGGGCAGGGCCTGTGCCTGACACCCATCCCCATCCTGGGTGGCAGGGACCTGGCTCCCAGAGAAGGACACAGCAGGGGCTAGACATGGCTGTGAACCAACCAGGATATTGTGTCTCTAGCAGACAGGAGGGTCCGCAAGCAGCACCCGCACACCCACGGGGTCCCCAGCCCTGCCCAGGGCCCCAGACCTCTGTCTGGCATCCAGGAGCCTCTAGAGGATTCTGGGTGACCCTTCCCCAGTGCCAGGCACCCAGGAGGGGCCGGAAGGGATGGTGACAAGGGGCACCTGGAGGGGAGAGGGATGACCCCTTCTCGCTTCTCCCGGGGCAGAGACCATCCCGCTGCAGACCCTGCGCTGCCACAATGACTACACCAGCCGCATTACCTGCCGGTGGGCGGACACCCAGGAGGCCCAGCGGTTCGTCAACCTGACCCTCTACCGCAGGCTGAACGAGTGAGTGGGATTCTTTCAAAGCATATGTCACAATATGTCACGCCTTTGCGCATAGCTCTAATTCTTCCCTCTTGCAGTGAAATCCAAATTCCTTTTAAGTGTTGGCCTCCTGTCCCTCACTCAGTTAGCCTCCTAGACCTCCCAACCTCACATACTCTATGCATAATGTCTAACAATCTAGTCCTGTGGTCGGCAAACCGCGGCTCGAGAGCCACCTGCGGCTCTTTGGCCCCTTGAGTGTGGCCCTTCCACAAAATACCACGGCCTGGGCGAGTCTATTTTGAAGAAGTGGCGTCAGAAGAAGTTTACGTTTAAAAAAATTGGCTCTCCAAAAAAATTTCAATCCTTGTCCCGTTGATATTTGGCTCTGTGGACTAATGAGTTTGCCAGCCACTGGCCCAGTCGAGCAACATACAAACCTGAGCCCGCCCCAGGGCCTGTGCATCTGCAAGCACCTGAGACTCCCTTTCCCCAGAACTTGCATGACTCCTCCCCCACGTCGTCCAAGTTTCTACTCAAACATCACCTTTTCCAGGAGGCCTCCCCTGTGTCTCCTATTCCCAACTGCATCCCCCACCCCAGACCTCTGGCCTCCTTCTCACCCTTCCCTGCTGCACTTGTCTGCCTAACGTTTTCCCCATTTGACACGTGACTAATTTCACTCCGCTGTTCCCTGTCTATCTCCCTCCAGCAGGACGTTGGCTCCCCGGGCGGGAATTGGTGTGTGTCTTGTCCACATGGAAACCACCCCATAATGCTGCGAGCGAGTGATTCCTCATTCTATCTTGACCCGTGTCCTCTCCTGCAGGTCCCCCCCAGAGCCAGTGTCCTGTGAGCTCACTGATGACATGCCCTGGTTAGCCTGCCCGGCCTCCGACTGCGTGCCCAGAAAGTGCGTCATTCCCAGCACGCGGTTCGTCATCGCCGACCGGGACAACTTCTCCTTCCAGCCTGACAGGCCTCTGGGCGCCCAGCTCACCGTCATCCTGGCCCAGCATGGTGAGCTCAGGGTCCCTGGCTGGGGGTGGCCCCCAGTGTGGACAGCGGGTCCAGGGAGTGGCCATACTACAGAGGTGGGCCGGGGAGCGAGTCTTCAAGGGTTGGAGACATCGGCCTGGGGTTGGATTTGGTCTCTGAGGGAAGAGGATGTATGTCTCCTTATGATGGAGCTGTCGGAGCAGGTGCAAGGTGAGGAGCACACCCCCCCCCCCACCCCTCCCTGGCTGCTCCACCGCCTGCCAGGCCATTGCCTTCCAGCAACGAAGGTTTCCCTTCTGGAAGAACCTATCTCATGATTCACATAAAAACTTACCAGGTTAGCTGAAACCGGTTTGGCTCAGTGGATAGAGCGTCAGCCTGCGGACTGAAAGGTCCCAGGTTCGATTCCAGTCAAGGGCATGTGCCTTGGTTGTGGGCACCTCCCCAGTAGGGGGGTATGCAGGAGGCAGCTGATTGATATTTTTCTCTCGTCGATGTTTCTAACTCTTTATCCCTCTCTCTTCCTCTCTGTTAAAAAAAAAAAAAAAAAAAAAAAATATATATATATATATATATATATATATATATATATATATATTAAAAAAAACAAAACTTATCAGGTTAGCCCTAGTTGGTTTGGCTCAGTGGATAGAGTGTCAGGCCTCAGACCAAAAGGTCCCAGGTTCGATTCCAGTCCAGGGCACGTACCTCAGTTGCATGCTCAATCCCCGGCCCCAAATCAGGGAGTGTGCAGGAGGTAACTAGTTGATGTGTCTCTCTCACATCGATGTTTCTCTCTGTCTCTCTCTCTCTCCCTCCCTTCCTTTCACTCTCTCTAAAAACCCATGGTGGGAAAGAGGTGCCCTGTCCGTCTCTGCCAGCCTGGGCCAAAGATGTTCCGAAGGGCAGCTCTCACACGCCACGTCCGTGCCCAGCACAGAACATCTGTACCCTGTCTGCTCTCACTGAACGCTCTGTGCTTGAATGTCAGTCCTGGGCGCTCAGACACAGAAGCTTCGGGAGGGCAGGAGCCAGGCCATTCACTGACAGACCTCTTGTCTAGCCCGGTAGCTCCCAGCGGAGCTAGGCTTGATGGCGGTTGATGGAATGGGTTCATGAAAAGCATCTGAAGGTAGCCTACATGTACTCCTTTGTTGATTCATTCACTTTGTTCCCCGAATCCATTGAGCCGCTACATTGCAGGCCCTGGGGAGAGGGATGGGGACCAGGACCCAACCCTGCCCCCCCCCCCCCATGAGCTCCTTGACCACTAGGGGAGGCAGATATGGGAGCAATAAGCCCCTCCAGAGTAAGGACCGTGCAAGTGGCTAGGTGGGCTGGGAAAGGAGCCAAGATTCTGCCTGGAGGAGGGGATCCGAGAAGGTTCTAGAAGAGAAGACTTTTTTTTTTTAATTGATTTTTTACAGAGAAGAAGGGAGAGTGATAAACAGTTAGAAACATGGATGAGAGAGAAACATCGATCAGCTGCCTCCTGCACACCCCCTACCGGGGATGTGCGCACAACCAAGGTATGTGCCCCTGACCAGAATCGAACCTTGGACCTTTCAGTTGGCAGACCAACACTCTATCCATTGAGCCAAACCGGTTTTGGCTAGAGGAGACTTTTATGCTGGGCCCTGGGAGGTGCAGAACATTGGCAGGTAGACAACACAGAGTAACAGGAGCCACAGCGCCCTCTGCTGGGCCGGGGGTGCCACACAGGCTACATCCTGAGCAGTGGGAGCTTGGGGACGGAGGGAAGCTGCATTTAGTTTCATTGCCAGCACCTTGTATGGAGCACATGCCGTGCTAGTATGTGCACCGCTATCTGCACGGCATTCGTTCACGGTCACATGGAATCCCATGATTGGGCAGATGAAGGGCCTGCAGGCCACTGAGGATTGGGGTCTTGTCCAAGGTCAGTGAGCTGGGGAGGGGGGGGGCAGTGCTCCTCCTGGAACCCCAGCTGTTTGCACGCAGACCTGCAGGCCCTTACAGGCCCCGACTCCCTCTCCCTCAGTGCAGCCCCCCGCGCCCAGGGACCTCCAGGTCCGTCCTGACGGGGACCAGTTCCTGCTGACCTGGAGCGTGGCCCCCGCGGCTTCCCAGACCCCGTGGCTGTCCGAGCTGGAGTTCGACGTGGCCTACCGGCGGCTTCAGGACTCCTGGGAGGTAGGGACCTCAGCCGGCTCAGCCCGGAGCCCACGGGCACCCAGCCCAGCGGCCCCTGCTCCAGCAGCTGCCCCCTCTCCCGGCAGGATGCTTCCAGCCTCAGCTGCACCGCCCCGCAGGTCCACCTGGGGCCCGGGCACCTCATTGCCGGCAGCACCTACGTGGCCCGAGTGCGCGCCCGGCTGGGCCGGGATTCGGGGTTCTCGGGCCGGCCCAGCCCGTGGAGCCCGGAGGTTCTCTGGGACTCCCAGCCAGGTAAGGAGAGGAGGGTGTTGGGGGGGGGGGCCTCTGTGGAGGGCGGCTCATTACAGGTCCAAACGGGAGTTGGGGGGCCGCCAACCTCTGTGCCATATGTTCAAGTGTCTTCCTTGGCCCACCACCCTGTAGCTCCGCAGAGCCATCGGCTCCCGCTGGGCCCAGGGGCTGCACACATTCTTCCCAGCGACCATTACAACGGGGGTGTCCTCCCCCATCCTCCTCCCCCGTGATCTGAGCAGCTGTGCTTCCCTGAGAGCTGGCCCACGTGCGGACACCGCCATCCTTGTTCAGTCCCCAAACCCCGAAACTAGACGCTGTCCCCGTTCCCGGGGCCACGGGGGCTCACAGGATTCCCTCCGGCCTGGGGTCACACAACTAGTGGGTTCAGACTGAAGCTGAACCCCAGGTCCACGCCCCAAAGCCCAGGCTGTCTCTGTTGAGTCTCTGTGATGAGTCCCACGGTGGCAGCCACGGAGAGCTAGGAATGGATGAAGGAGGGAACGAGCAAGGGCTGTCTCCCTCGCAGGGGACCAGGCCCAGCCCCAGAACCTCCAGTGCTTCTTTGATGGGGCCACCGTGCTCAGCTGCTCCTGGGAAGTGAGGGCCGAGGTGATCCGCTCCGTCTCCTTCACCCTCTTCTATAAGCCCGGCCCCAACGAGGGGTGAGTGTCCCCTCCTCTGCTCCCTCCCCTCCTCTGGGCCTGGCCCTCTCCAGCCAGGCCTCCTCCTGCCTCTGGGTGCCCCGCAGTGACCCAGCTCACCCCAGGGTCTCATTCCCCGCCCCCCGCCCTCCATGGCCCCTGTCCCCTCCCGCCTCACCTCCGCCATGACCCTCAGGGAGCAGGAGTGTTCCCCGGTGCTGAAGGAGGCCCGCGGCCCCTATGTCCGCCACCGGTGCCAGGTGCCCGTGGCCGACCCCCGGAACCACAGCCAGTACCTGGTCTCTGTTCGGCCAAAGCGGGAAGAGAAGTTTATAAAGAGCTCGGAAAACAGTGAGTGTGCCCAGCCTGCTGGGGTGGGGGCAGGGGTGGGAGGGGGTGAGAGTGAGGATGGGATGGGGGGTTGCGACAGCTGCATCTCCTTGTATAAACCATGGAAACTCAGGGCTCCTATGTCCCGTCTTCCCGTTTGCGACTTTCAACAAGCACAGTCCCGTGAGCAAAGTGAGCAGGGTCATTAGAGTCTCCTCCTGGAGTTCTCAGGAAGCAGTGATAGGTCAGCGGCAGCCACAGATAACACGCAGGAGGTCCCGCTGATCTCCACAGCTGTGCTGTCTCCCGCCCTCAGCGGGCCTCCCGTGCTCCCACCCAGCCTGCCAGTTTTGCTTTACGTTTCCAAAGTCTTTGCTGAAGGATCCTTTCCGTCTTCAAAATAATAGACCTAGGAATACTTCCTGGGGAGCCCTGGAGTGTGGCACTCCTGGCAGGTTAACTTCCCTGATGAACAGCCCTGGTCCCTGGTGTGCATCAGGGGCCCATGCACAGGAGCCCCCACGTGACCTCAGGATGACCGGGTTATTCCCCTCCGTCCTCCCGGCTCCAGTGCATGTCGTGTCCCCGGCAGCGGCCCATCGGTCTTGGCCGCCTGGGTTAGAACCCACCGCTTTCTCTCTGGGGATTGGCCACCGTGTAACCTTGGTCTCTGCCCCTGTCTCGCTGCCTGACCTTGGCGAGAGACTAATTGTCCTGGGGCTCCCTTTCTCTGCCTGTGACACGCTGGTGGCGATTCGTGCAGAGCGAGCATGTCTATCAGTGCCCTGAACGGTCCCGGCTCTAGACTAGAACCAAGAGCAGTGATTTTGCTTTTACTGAAACGCGATGGGTAACCCAGGCTCGGCATCACCTCGCTACAGGACAGGTGACACTCAGCCTCGGCCAGGAACGGGGCCACTCAGGTCCAGTCGGAGGACGTGGTGATATGGGGGTGCAGAGAGCCGGAGATGGAAATGGGGGTACAGAGAGCTGGAGATGGAAATGGGGGTGCAGAGAGCCGGAGATGGGCAGGACCTGGGGTCCTGGGGCCGGTGAAGACAGCACCTGTGACCAGCATGGAAGGCAGGGGATGTTCCAGGGCAGAGATGTTGAGAAGAACGGTCCCTAAAAGTCTCCTTTCTCTAGTCCAGACGGCTCCTCCGACACTCAACGTGACCAAGGGCGGAGACGGCTACATTCTGAACTGGGAGGTGACGACGTACTATAACCACATCGAGTACACCTACGAGGTCCAATACAAGAAGGATGCAGCCTCCTGGGAGGTGAGGGGCCTGAGGGGCCTGCTGGGGGGGTCGGGGGGCATGTGACACACACCTGGAAGGCGCCACCTGTAGGGGACAGTCAGAGGAAGCCAGTGGGACTTGGCGACCACATCCCTGAGGCTCAGGGAGATGAAGTGGCGTGGTCCAAATGAACACACGTGACCCTGGAGGCAGCCTAGATGTCAGGGCAGGGACCAGGGCTCCATCCAGGGCCCTCTGTGCTGCACCCAGGCAGCCCTCAGTCCATGTGTAGAACCTGGGGCTCCACAGAGGCCAGATCAGAAACCTCAGAGCCAGTCTCGGTGGGTCTGGGATTAGGCCCCGGGCACCCAAACCCCCATCTCAGAGCTCAGAGTCCAGTCACCTTGCGCTGCATTCCGGAGAGGCCATAATTGGGGTCCAAGCTGCCCCCTGGGAGCTGGGAGGTCCAGGGGTCTCAAGATGAGGATGGGACTGGGTGACCCCTTAGGGTTTCTGGGCCTCAATGTCACAGGGGCGTCTTGCAAGAGGTGTGGTCCCGGTCCCACTCGGCATGCTCTCTCTCTCTCTCTCTCTCTCTCTCTCTCTCTCTCTCTCTCTCTCTCTCTCTCTCTCTGTGGGCCTAAAGGAGGGTCCTCCTGGGAGGGAGCGGTCCTGCCTCAGACCTGAGAGGCGAGGGGTGAGGGCTGGCGGGTAGCAGAGCCCTGGGCGAGGAGGGTTTGCAGCTGTGCCCATGTGGTCCCCGGGAGTTGCCTCAGGCTCAGTACACCTGCCCCCGCAGGAGAGCAAGACAGAGCCCCTCCAGAACACGCGCTTCCTGTCACTGCCGCCGCTGGAGTCCTCCACCAGGTACCAGGCGAGAGTGAGGGTCAAGCCCCACAACGGCTACAGCGGCATCTGGAGCGAGTGGAGTGAGGAGAGGTCCTGGGACACTGAGTGGGGTATGTCTCCCCTGCCCTCCCGCCCCCCACGCTCTCCCTTCCCGCTACAGCCCAGCTGGGGTAGGGGCAAGGGCGATGTAGACACAGAAGGGTGACTGCAGCCACCCCAGCACCCACTCCCGGTGACACTAGTCATTGAGAAATGACCCCCCTGTGCCACACGGACTGCGGACGAGGCCCTGAGAGAGCAGAGAGGAGCAGGTCTCATCGCCATGCCTCCCTCAGATGGGACCTTAGTCCTCTGTTAATATGACCCATGGCTTCCTCAGCCTTTGTGGCAGCCACTGGCCAGTGACCACTCAGCACAAGATTCTGGTTCCCATCCACTAACATCAGGGCCTCCGGACAGAGGCCTGAGCTGGGAGGGTCCGGGTCTGATGTCCTATCTTCCCCATCTCCCTGCACCTGCTCCTTTCATTCGTCCTCACTTTTCACCCGAGCCCCAGCTTTTCCCTCCCAGAGGCTAACGCCCCTTTTTCTTTCCTGGCCACCGGAAGTGCTGCCCACGTGGGGCCTGGCTCTCGTCCTGGTCTTCACCACCCTGGCCTTCCTCCTGGCCCTGCGTCTCTGTGGCTCGTACGGGTACAGGTAAGGGGACTCCAGGATGAGTGGGGGTGGGGGTACCCGAGACCCTGGGAGATGGGGCAACAGGGATCTCACAGCAGATCCCTCCAGTCCCTACTCTGCCACCACTCCCTGGGGGTTCTTGGACAAATCTTACCCTCTCCTGGGGCCTCAGTTTCCCCTCCGTATCTGAGCCTGGGCAGCCGCCCCGAGGCCTCTGGTGGCTGCCACCTCCCTCCTGTCTCTCCAGGTGGACCCACAAGTGGGCGGAGAAGATCCCCAACCCCAGTAAGAGCCAGCTGTTCCAGGTACGGCCCTGCGGTCAGGGCGGCTGTGGTGGGAAAGGGCCCTCTGTGCTGCACCCAGGCCCCGTGCCCACGTCCGCCCTCCCTTCCTGGACATGGAGAGGGGGGCGCAGGAGGGGCCGGGAGGCTCTGAGAGCGAGGCTGACCCCTGTGAGTTCATCCCCAAAGCCCTCCCTCCCCCCAGAGGCCCGTGGAGCAGGAGGGGTTGAGGGTGAGGGTGCCAGGAGAGCACAGGTGGGCTCAGAAGGGCAGGTGGGGGGGGCAGGATGGCTCTCCGAGGACAGGACAGCAGGATCCGGGTGGCCCTGGGGGCAAAGGTCACTGTAGGCAGAAGGCAGGTGGGGATGAAACAAACTGAGGGGGGTGGGCATGAAGCTCGGGGGACCACAGAGGGAACGAGGGTGGGGAGGGTCTCGAGGCCAGTGTGGGAAGACTAGGGGGTGAGTATGGAGGCAGCAACACCCCAACAAGCAGACTCACCAGAGCAGGGTCCCTGTCCTCAGCGCTGGGCTGGAGGACCCAGGAAGTCCCAGCCCTCTCTGGCCTCCCCTCCTGCTGTCAGAGGCTGTGTCCGGTCCTGACCATGCTGAGCTGCCCCCCTTTTCCGGGGACTCACTGAACCCCCGCCACCCCCACAGCCCTCCCTCCACCAATGCCATCCTGCGGCCTCACACCCACAGGCACACACGCCCTCTCTTCCAGGACATGAGTGCGGGGCGCTGGCCCCCCAGCGGCCTGGCAGCCCTCACCAGCAGGAGCCCCGCGCACAAGGGACCCTGGGACAGCCACTTCCCTGGGCTGCAGGGGTGAGTGCCTGGGCCTGGGGTCCCTGGGAGGCGGGAGGGTACCTCCCTTCCCCCCACCCCCGTGCACACGGGAGGCTCCGAGGAGGTGGCCTCTGGCCTGTGGCTCAGTGTGGAGCCGCCCAAGCAGGTGGTTGGCACTAAGGAGCATGCAGTGGGCTTAGCTGGGAAAACTTCCTGATTCCCAGCTCAGCAAGGGCCACAGCTCAGGTTTGACAGGCGACCTCTCTGTGCCCTGCTGCCAGGGGGCAGCCCACACTGCCTCGGCCTCATGGGGTCAGCACCTGCGCCCCCAGCACGGCTAACCCCAGGACAGGGCCCTGCAGGCTGCAGGTGAGGAATGAGGGGTGACAGCACACATGGACGGGGCATCGGCCTGGGCCCTGCGGCTGGGCCTGTCCAGGAGCAGAGGGCGAGAGGGACTCGCCTGGGAGAGGACTCACCTGCTCTAGGGTCCCGCCCACCGCGCCTCATCCCTGCTGTGCTCTCTGTGAGCCCCACTGCCCCCAGGCCCCCTCACCCCCTCCTGCATGAGCTGAGGGGTCTACCCAGGGTGGTCCCAGCACCTTGCACCTGCTCTCCCCACAGGGTGTCCCCCGAAGTCTGCATGCAGAGCGAGGTGTCACCTCTCACCGTGGAGGATCCTAAGCAGGCCCACGACACGCCCTCTGAGCCCAGCACGACTCCGGCCGCCTCCGACCTGCCCGGGGAGCTGCCCCCAGGCCCCACGCCCTGCCTGTCGGCCCCCTCCAGCAGCCTCGAGAGCCAGGGTTCCGGCTTCGACTTCAATGGCCCCTACCTGGGGCCGCCCCACAGCCGCTCCCTGCCGGACCTCCTGGGCCAGGAGGAGCCCCTGCCGATGGGGGGAAGCCAGAAGCCTATGCCCGCAGGGTCCCTGGAGTACCTGTGCCTGCCCCAGGGGGAGCAGGTGCAGCTGGTCCCGCTGGCCCAGGTGATGGGCCAGGCCCAGGCCAGGGGTGCGGAGCGGAGACCCTGCTCGAGGGCGGAGGGGAGCCCCTCCGTGGAGACTGGGGCGGGCCCTGTCCCTCACCCTCCTGGGCTGCTGGTGGGTGGTCAGGGCCTGCAGGACTGCCCCACAGCCGTGTCTGCTGTGCCCGGGCGCCCTGCAGAGAGCAGTGTGGCCTCCGGTTATGTCAGCCCCGCAGACCTGGCACTGGCCTTACCCACGGAGGTACCATCTGCCTCGAACGCCTCCCGGGTTCCTCCCCTTGGCCTCCCCTCCGAGCAGAACCACGGCCTCTGCCCCAGGCTGGCATGTGGGCCCCTGGAAGGCCCCGCCCCCGGGGAATCAGTGATTGACAGCTATGTGGAGCTCCCTTCCACCATGGGCCAGGCCCCCAAGTCCCCTCTGGGCAGTCCTGCTCCTCCCGCAGCCAGCAGCCAGGTCCTGAGCCCGCGGGAGCCCCGGGTCGATGTGACCCCAGTTTCCCCGCACCCCGAGGGGCTCTTGGTCCTGCAGCAGGTGGGGGACTATTGCTTCCTCCCGGGCATGGGATCGGGGCCCTTGTCCCCCCAGAGCAAGTCCTCTTCTCCTGGGCCCTGTCCGGAGATCAGGGACCTGGACCAGGGCTTCCCGGCCAAGAAGCCTTCCTGCCCGGCCATTCCCCAGGTGCCCGCCATTCAGCTCTTCAAAGCCCTGAAGCAGCAGGACTACCTGTCGCTACCCCCCTGGGATATCGGCCGGCCTGGGGAGGTGTGCTGAGACCCCGAGGGCCTGAGGGACCTGAGGGAGGAGAGGGTCTGCCTTCCTCCTGCCCTGCCTTTCTCCCACCGGCCTCAACGTTTTCCACACTCATTTCTGCAAAGCCAGGGAGGGTGCCAGGACAACGCGTGAACTGCCTATCTTCTCCCTTGACCTTGAGCAAGGCCAAACTTCTCTGTCTGTCCCTCTTCCTCCTCCCTCCCGCCCCCGTCTCACAGACACACACACACACACACACACACACACACACACACACACACACACTTTTCTTTCAAGTTCACAGACGTTTAGGTTCTGAATTGATAGAATGTCCCATATGTTCTCATTCCATTTGCCCTCATTTCCTGCTTTGGGCTCGTTCCTTCTTTCTCTTTTCCCTGATTTATTATCCAAGCGAGTGTGAGGCCCCAGCTCGGCCTGTCCTGAGATGCCATGACTCGGTCAGAGTCCATTCTGATGTTGCCGTGTCTGGCTGTGTTGGGGGACCATGTCTGTTCCAGGCAGTCAGGAGCTCAAGGTTCCAGCCGGGTTGCAGGCGGCGGGAAGCGGGTCTCAGGGTGGGGTCCTGGGGGCTGAGCACTTGGAAGAGCAGCAGCACAGGACTGGACCTGTCTTCTCAGGCCCCTGACCCCAGATGTGGTGACAAAGCTCCAGACTCGACAGTCACCCCAAGAAACGGGTGTGGTAAGGGGTGTGCAGAGGAAGAGCTGTTCTGAGGTCTAGGACTGGGGACAGGCCGCTGACCTGCAGGGGTGAGGTGCAGGTTCCTGGTGATCCCCTTCCCGCACCCAAGTGGGGGCCGGGGAGGTCAGGAGGAGAGAAGAGTCCGGGACCCACATCTGCTGCAGGAAGTGGGAAAGACAGCTCAGCCAAGGAAATGATGGACGGACACATACGCTCAGGCTTATGGACCAAACCGCCCGGCTGCCTCTTTCCCAGAAAGACCTTGGACTCCAACCACTCCCAGCCGTGTCCGAGGGCTTCAGGCCTCTCTATGTCCAGGCCTACGAGGGGATGATGGTGCTTTTACATCTCTGCCTTCCTGCTCTGCAAAACTAATAGCATTACGCTGTTTTAATTTGCATTATTTCCTAACTTCCCAGTTTGCACATATTTTTATATTGTGGCCCTCAGTGTTTTTATTTTTAATTTTTTTTTTTTAACTGGAATAAGGCCATTCAGGACTTTGTTCTGCCGGGTGCTCGTTTTCTGATGGAGTTTTTGAAACTATTTATTCGGTCTTTCACGGATGGTGCCGACTTCCCCCCCTCGTGTGTGGTTTGTCATCTAATTGTGTAGACGAGGCTCGTGGGTGTCCACAGAGCAGTCGCCCATGGGACGCCCACGTGGCTCCGGTGCTGGTGTGACATTGACAAAGGCCCTCCCGCTTCCAAAGCCCTTTGGTCCTGATCGATTGATTTGTTCCTCATTCTCTTTGTGTTTCAAGCTTCTCGTGTAAAATTGTAATGATTCGGGGACACATGCGTGTGAGATGGAGGGCCAGCCGCCAGGGCCCCCGCGGTTTTGCTGTATTCAATGAGTCACCTGCTCTCCATCCACAGACCTGCAGGCCCCTCTCGTAAAAAGCCCCGGATGTGCTTAGTTCCTAGGCTTTCCATTTCATTACATTGTTCCCTCCGAGGCGCCCCGCCCTCTGAGTGCTAGCTTTGTAATATGTTTCAATACATTTCAGAACAAATATTCTTGGTATTCTTGTTCACTGATTCTTGTTCATTGCGGCAATGTCTATGGCCAAAGAAAATGATAAGCAATGGAAGTATTCACCAGTGGTGAAGTTAATAACAACTTTTGTGCCTTCCAAAGTACAAACCTGCATTTCAAATGAATGAGGTAGACCTATGTGTGTTAGAAGTCTGAGCTATTCAGTCCAAAATGTTTCAGGCATTGTTAACGGAAAGAAACTGCCAATAAAATATTTCTTATGATAAAACCAAGCCCTACACGTATGTGGATGTGTGGGAGCAGGTGGGGACGGGTGGTAGTGTAACCCCGAGCATAGGAGTGCTGTGCCCAGCAGGGGAGCTCCTGGGGGAGTAAGGGGGGTGGGGGGAGTGAGGGAGAAGACGATGGGGGTGTGGGTGGGGGGTAATAAAGGTCATACACTGAAAAAATTGACATTGTTTTCTGAAATTCAAATATAATTGGGGCCTGTGTGTGCCCTCTCATGCAGGGATGAGATGAGTCCCATAAGCATAGCTGAGGGTTGTTGAGGGCTTATTCCTGGCAGGCACTCCCCAGCAGATTGAGTGGGGGGATTGGCTCACTGAACCTCCACAGCCCTCTGAGGCAGACGCTGTCTTTATCCCACGTGAGGGAACTCCTCAGTGAGGAAACAAAGGCACAGAGAGGTTATGTGACTTGTCCCAGGTCAACCAGCCAGAAGGTAGCCGAGTCAGGGTTTGAACCCTGGTCCCCCGAGGTTCAGAGCCTGCCCTTGAAAGCAAGGACCCTCACCACACATATAGGAGAGATGATTCGTGCTGCTTGGCAAGGCAGGAAAACCCATACACCACGCTGGAGGAGGGGGGACATTGAGACAGATGTGACCAGGAAATGCTCGTGTTTCTCTGGGAGCCGAATATAACGGTGCAAGCTCTCCCTCACCGAGGTCGCAGACACCAACTGTGCAGACCCACATCTCCCTAACAACCCAGCGCTGTGCGTGTGGCAGGTGACGATGAAGGAGTAGTCCCCGCTGGAGGGCCCCCCGCCCCCCGGAGGCTGTTCCTGAGGCGGAGGTAGATGTGCTGGGCATGAACAGAACAAGGAGGAAGCCACGTTGGGCAGGAGGAGCCCTCAGACCTTCCAGGCCTGGAGGAACGAACGTCTGCCAGCCGCGGAGAACTCTGGAGCAAACATTGCCTGTCAGAAAGGCGCACATGAGGCAGGAATAGCCCTCCCGGGCCCTCCTGGTGTCCGTCAGCGGCTGGGGCCCTGAGAGGGGGGGAGGAGCCAGAGCTGGAGGCTGTGCAGCTGACAGGCGGGTCCTTCCCTGGAAAGGGGCCTGAGTCTTCAGTCCATTCAACTCCCAAAGGACATCCTGGCTGCTCCCAAGTTTGGGCAAAACAAATAAAGCTGCTGCAAGCATCTGTGTGCGGGGGTTCGTGTGGACATGTTTCTCCCGTGGGGGATAGACACGAAGGAACAAGAGCGCTGGATCACATGGGAAGCGTTTGTTTAGTTTGTAAGAAACTGCCAAGCTGTCTTCCTAAGTGGCTGCACCATCTCCAACCCTGGGGGGAAGGGGGGTACTAATCGCCCACCTGCTGCAGGACCAGGGGGGACTGGGTCACATGCACCCGGGCTCCCTCGGCTCAGGATGTGGCTGCTGGCTGCAGGAGGGGCAGGGCTGCCCAGAGGGGACTTAGGGGACTGACTCATGGAGGGAGATCCACAGAGCTTTGAGGTCTCCTCATCTGTGACACATGGCTAACAGGTGGCATTTGCCAGGCTGTGCCCCACGCCCAGCACCTGCAGGCCTGGGGACCCTCCATCCCTCTCTGCTCTGCCCACACCCCCAGGAGCAGAGCCCAGCACCCTGAGGGGCCATCAATGTCCTCAAACAAACTTCTGGGATCCAATCATAAACCTGGAACATAACCCACCAGAAATGGAATAATGATGGAATAATGCCCCCCACCCCCCTAGCCGGTTTTGTTCAGTGGTTAGAGCATCAGCCCATGGGCCACAGTTTCAATTCCTGGTCAAGGTCACATATCTGGGTTGCAGTTTCGATCTCTGGCCTTGGGTTGGCGTGGGTGCACAGGCAACAAATCAGTGTTCTCTCACATCAATGTTTCTCTCTCTCCCGCCCACCCTCCCTCCCATCCACTCTCTCTAGATCAGTGGTTCTCAACCTTCCTAATGCCGCTACCCTTTAATACAGCTCCTCATGTTGTGGTGAACCCCAACCATACAATTATTTTCGTTGCTGCTTCATAACTGTAATTTTGCTACTGTTAATGAATCATAATGTAAATATCTTATTTTCCAATGGTCTTAGGCTCTACCACCTCGGGGTCACGACCCACAGGTTGAGAACTGCTAGCAGGGTCGCCTAAGACGATCGGAAAACACAGATATTTACATTACAATTCACAACAGTAGCAAAATTGCAGTTATGAAGTGGCAACCACGATAATTTTATGGTTGGGGGGGTCACCACAACAGGAGGAACTGCATTAAAGGGTCGCGGCATTAGGAAGGTTGAGACCCCCTCCCCTGGATCAATGGAAAAAATACCCTCGCGTGAGGATTAGGGAAAAAAGGGGGAATCATGCAATTTTATTATTATACATGTGAGTCTCCAAACTTTGCATGCTGACATTTTCCTGGGGCATCACGGCCATCTCCCAGCCCTGTGAGTGCAGATGGCCCCCGGGTCTCCTCTCCTGCCCCCTGCGATGCTCGGTGAACACTCCTATTCAGCCAGCGCTCGGACGGACGACAGTCCCTCCTCTCTCAGGACAGCCGAAGGTCATGCAGGTGAAAGCTGCGGCCAACAGGTTCCCAGAAAAACACTCTGCACTCGGGGTGGATGCTCAGGCAGCTCCCCAAGGCCTTCATCCTCAACTTCGGGGAACGGCTGGCAGTCGGCAGCCACTTCCTCAAGCATGTTGTCTACACGGGAGCCTCCAGGGGCCTGAAGCTGTGGGGAGTGGCCTTCCCGAGGCCCTCTGGTAAAGTCTGTTGTTCTGGGGTGTGAACAATAAGAACGAAATGTGTGTGGTGGGAGCCTCATTTATGTATAGTTCTCTTCTTCATGTCTGCCTACACCATCGTCTGTCATGGACCTGTTGCACGTGGCCAAACTGATATGTTGCTTCTAATGTATTCAAGGAGACCTTTATTTATCATTTACCTATTTATTTTAAATATATTTTATTGATTTTTTTTTTACAGAGAGGAAGAGAGAGGAGTAGAGAGTTAGAAACATCGATGAAAGAGAATCATCAATCATCTGCCTCCTGCACACCCTT